CGAGCAAAAGAAATTATGAAGAATTACTTTTTTTTTATTTAAAATAAATATTTTTAAAAGTATAGTTAAGCCTATCCGTGGACACACTGTATAATGCTGTAGAATGAATTCACATTATAACATCTATACTTAAAAGGTTTCAGAGCAACTTTCGGGGAAAGTACCTTAAAAGTGCTAGTGTGATGTATTTCAAACTTTACTTTGTAACCTCTATGAAATGTGCTATAAAAGTCTTGACATTGCGGACATTCGGCGGTTGCATGGATATTAGGGTTACATTAAAAGTACTGTAATGTGAGCCATTTCATTATTCAGTCATGCTCTAATCCTCCAAGTCCCTCTCTGTCATATTTGGCCTTTGAGGCTCAACTTGTCCGATTATCGTACATAATTAAACCCCTTAAAACCAAACATATGTGACGACTATGGCGAAGGCGCTTTCTAGTATAGTCCAGATATAACGAGATGTTTCTAGTTTGGCGGCGGAGCATTCTGGGATCCCCCAGATTTTTAAATTTTTATATAAATATTGGTGAAGGAACAACGCAGAAGTCAATTGTATATAGACAGTGAAAATAAATAGTGAACAGTTTAAAGACTTTCGAAATATATAAATTAGAATAGTATTGTTCTAAAATAAATGTTTAAATAAATTATTAATAAATAAACTGTTGTTTAATATAAACAAACATTACAGTACATTGTATGTGAGCTTAAAAAGCCTAAAAGATGGGATGTTTTTGTGCTAGCTAGAAAGCCTTATTAGCGTAAATAGTATAGATCTATTACAAAGGTGAAGGTATTAGGGTGACTGGAAATATTGTTGCGGTCAAGACTAACGCAAAATACAATATAAAACGTTTATCTTCCATCACTTTTCCCGAATCTTTGCTCTGGCTGGTCCTCCCGCACTATTTTGCACGCTTGGATAAACTGAATTCCTTTTTAAAAGAAAATCGATCAGATAAAGATGTGAATATGACATTCTTGTAAATGTCAAAGAATTAGCATCTTACTTGGAAATAGTTGCCACATTCAAAAGTCAAGAAACTTTAAAAGGAGCGTAAAATTAAAAAAAAAAACAATTTTACGAAAGTGAAGATCAGCAAAGATAAAATCAAAATTTGAGCTTTCATTCGAACGTTTTCAAATTTTTATAAAATATTTATGAATAAGGCAAGCATTGTAAACAACTCTAACTGATAAAAATCGAAACTAAAAAGACGTACCTAGTAAAAGGTATATCTATGATATATATCTGTATCTTTTGTTTTTAGAGATCTTTGTTGATAAGAAACAACCTCTTGAGGCATTTATACTTATGATTCATATTTTTCTGCATCATGTTTATGTAGGTATATAATAACATATAGGTACTTATCTTTTAAGTATGTAATCAGTTTAATCAATATTTAGTAATAATTTTATTTATATCAGTTTAACATAAAATGATTTTTCTACGATCATTATCCAAACTAGGCTTTTGCATATTCAAATCTAACTGGAAAGTTGACGTTTTCATCTTATTTTCATTAGAAAGAAAGTCATTAATAAAGCTATTCGGTATTTTGAAATAAAATGTAGATTAATCTGAATATTTTAGCTGGACCACTAGCTGAACATTAAAAAGGTATGTTCCAACAATGATCAGAAATTAGTCACTAACATCAGGATTCTGCGCAATAGTTTATTGAGACCGCAAAATTATCCTTGAGTAACTGACTGGTTTCTGATCGAACAGACCTCTAATATCCGAACACATGTCCCTTAAATATGTAAACAATAATTGAAACATTAAAACTATATTACCCCATTTTCAATCTATAGATTAGTATGCAACACAACATACATATAACACACGCTGGGCTAATGCCGATTGTCAAATAGACATTGAACTTCATTGAAGTAAAATTTCAATTCGGCATCCTGTGATCATAGAATAGCTATTTATGCAACCCTGTTACGAAATGCCTTATTGTTTTATATAACGAGTGAATATTTGCGGGACGAGCAGAGCGAGGTCCCGTAACATGAACGAGTTACATAAAACGGCACTTCGTAAAGTGTTACAAACAATATTTTTTCTAATTTTGACTAGATTATAAAATTGTGTTTTGCTAAAACATTACCGACATCTAGACAACCTATATTACTTTCTTGTATTGTTAGTTGCATATGAATAACTTCACTCATTTCATTGATAAACAGACAATAGGTCGCAGTGTACTAACATCCCATTCGCAACATGACATATCATTTTATTGACACATAGAAAATCATATTAATCATTTGTTCTCAATGACTCGTAGTATGATTATATTGCTCATTAAAATTATTTCATTTTCAAAAAAGTAGACTATTTTGTCGAGTATTATGTTTTAAATATTTTGTGCTGATTTAGAATGGAAAATAAGAACCAAAACAACATTTTTACTAGGTTGCAAGTTTAACCAAATTCTATTTTTATGAATTAACCTGCTCTTATTTGATATAAACCTTCAATAACAAAAAACAAAAAAAAGGTTCAATTTCATTTGTTTTCTTTTCTTTGATGCATGATTATTTTCATTAGAAAGGTATCATTATTAAAGATAATCGGTATTTTAAAACAAAATGTACACTAATATGAATATATTTGTTGAATATCTAATATTAAGACCCATTTCCCTTAATATTTAAACGATAATTGAAATATTAAAAAGAGATTACCCCGTTTTTAATCTTTACGTAAATAGGCAACACAATATATACACATAACACACGCTTGGCTAGCGGCATGATACAAAAATTACCGAGGTATGATACCTAACTTGACGAAATCTCTTCGAGTTCGCGCATGACGTATTGTGGTGTGGAATGTGGCCATGAACAGATTAAAATTTATTTTCGCGCGCTGTTTTCGATCATCTGATACCTTCAATTTGTAATAGCCACGCCTTCCCTCCACATTACGTCACTGTACCATGGGCTAGAGGTGCCTGTCTAATAAACATTGAAGTAAAATTTAAATTTGGAATTTGATAATATCGTGTAGTCATAGAAAGGTATTATCTATTAGGTACGTATGTATCTAGAGGTTCGTGTAAAAAACTATTTCTAAGTTACATTGATCCTAAGTTTTTATAGAAACATTGATAAAATAATCCTAAATATTATTTTGTATGATGAACTTTTAACTAATTTAATTATCCAAAACGACTTATTATAGTCAGACATTAATCAAGGTTCAAATTCTCAAGTATATTTCGTTATCTTAAAATAAACAAAATAATTAAAACAAAATATTTGTTCGTTAATAATAATTTTTTAAGGAACATAGTAAATAAAAGAAAATTACGTTATTTTTAAAAAGTATTATTTATTGGTCTGTTCAGTAATTCAAACACAGGCAATCCACTCATCCACATCATACCTACTTTCTTCTTATTGGCATAAATGTTTATAAATTGCGTAATTAACTGGTTGTTTAGGTATCTACTATGGGTATGCATAGAAAGGATTACCTATTTATCTAAATTTTTCTCACCATGGCAATAGCACCTAATATGTAATAAATATGTTTTGTATTGAATCTGGCATAGTTGCCTACAGCCTCTATATAACTTGCCTATTATTTTTGTTTTTAATAACAGAGTATAGGTACCTACTATTTTTTTAGATTTATAGCTTTTAGAAAGTCTTAATACAAAATTCAAAATAATGATTATAAAAAAAATATTTTAATATATTTTTGAGTCAAAAGACAACATCTGTAAAGAAGGTAATTAATACTCGTATGAAGCACACAAAGTCCATGAAGAACAGCAATTTTTGTAAGTATTAAAAAAACATGTTTTAAATTTGAGTAATAAAAATAATTTTCAATTATAAAGGGAATAATAAAAGAATATTGAAAATTATCATCATAACCAAGAAAAACAAAGACAAATGATAAAAAAATATTTAATATTTAAAATAATTAATAAGTATGTGGTGGATGTATATTTTTTAGACCTATAGTTACAAAACTGATTAGACACTGGCCAACTACTTCCTCTTATTTAAAATTCTAGCTTTTCTGTGGCTTGTTTGTAAATTGGCATAAAAATAATTATAAGAAAAAGATTTTAAAATGTATATATTGTGAAAGATTAAGTGTTTCAAAATTTTTAATAATAAGTATTAATTAAGTATATATATTTTATATAATTTTGACAAATTTTGTTTTTATTATTTTATTTATCCATTTTTAGAGTAGTCCCAAAATCTATTTTAGAAGAATATAGGTATTTTTATTTCAATAGATACATCAAAGTTTATGATCGCTATCTATATAACTAAGCTACGTCACTGATGAAATAAATAATGTTTATTTTTTCCAGAAATTACAGTAATTTATTTTTTAATTATTATTAAGTAAGTACCTACCCAACCAGATTTTAATGAAAACATGTTTATTCTGACGATTAGTGTAATAATGATGTATTTTTAAACAAATTTACACCATAGACCATGAATAATGAAGGTACAATTAAATTAATATTAAATAAAATAAATAATAAATATAAAAATCTCAAATTCACAATAGTATTTTTTTTACTCCGAAAAAATAGTGGTCATTTTAGCAATATCTTAGAAATGTATCTTGTTAAATTTATATATCAAATGTTTGGTGGGTAAACTTATTTTTTATTTCTTATTTAGTATAGGACCTAACTCAAAAAAGAAAGTTCCCATTCTAGTTCAATTTTATGAAAAATCGTGAAAAATAACAAAATGTGGGTCAATGTGTTCATTGCTTTTGAATTTAAATCCTTGAAAAGTAATTATATTCAAACGTCTTTAAATGAATTTAAAGAAAAAATAAATGATTTTATTAAATATAATTTATTTTTAATATCTAATCCAAAATTCTAGTTACACCCCCGCGAAAAAGTGACCGTACATGACCTATTTATTTCGTTTTTGCGCCATCTACAACCAACTTTCAGACCATTACAAAATAAAAGGAAAATACTTACCCCTTGAATGACAACTGACACAAACAAAACCACTGAACGTACAACAAAAACAAACAGTAATCGGCTACAGTAAATTTTATGTGTTTTCAGTTATATCAACCGTCGGCTTTTAAAATATTTATTTGTTAACTCTGTGTAAATGAATGTATACATATAGATACAGCATGCGGAGTTTAACCATAGTACAAAGTCCAAATTTCTCCTGTTGTTTCTGGGCCGTCGGATTTTTTAAATACATCTACTGCGAGAGAGATTTGATCCTTATTGTTTAACACAGTAGAGGTCAAAATCCTCAATACGACACCATCACCGTGGTATATCTCGTATCGTAAAGTCTGTATATTTTTAGACAGGGCTACAAGTTGGTTACGTAGGAAACACACCTCCTTTGAGCAGGTAATGGATAAGCTTTCACTGCCTGAATACAAAATACAACTGAAACCTCAATAAAATAATAAAAGGGATGAACTGCCCTAGTGAGAGGGTGGGTAAGCAATGCGAGGGAAAATAAGGGATGTTTACGTTCAGTTTTATAATCGAGCAGCAGCGTAGTGCGAGTGTGGCACGGCACAAATAGCCTAATCGCTTATCGCTGATACTTCTCGACTAAACTACATTTTTTTTTGTAAAAAATTGATATATTATGGGTTATTTTTAGATTTTTAATTCGTTGCGCTATCGTAGATATTTGTTTATCTGTCATGTAAAATTTAAATGTTTGTTATGCGAGTAGGTATAGTTTAGTTATAGGCCCTTTCAAGATACTTGCATTGAGTAATTGGACGTTGATACGTAGGTATACGTACTATTGTTGTTTTTATTAAAATACATTTTATTTTTCATAAAAATATTAAAATAATAATTTTATTAGGTATTGTGATAAATAAAATGTATTTAAAATAAATAAACGATTGTACCTATTTTTTCAATTTTAATATTTTTTTCAAAATACAAATAACAAAAATAAAAAAAATGGATTTATTGTAAATTGAACCGTGTCGCGAAATGCAAATTTGACTGTTATCTAATCACATAATATGTATTGTAAATTTCAACAAAAAAATTACAACTTTGAGTTATCTGAAGTATCGTTTGCAGGAGTTTTGAACTCGGTTTTGAACTAAATCCTTGCAGATGAAACTTCCTGATGGTCCCGCCTACCACTTCACAAATTTCTGCCGGAAGTACGATCGTACCATCTTGCGGCCGCTAGCTATTTAGTGCCTTTTGTTGAATAAAGTGGCATCTGGGTCACAATATATTTACATTATTTTGTCCAAATAAATCAAAAAATAAATAAAGGCATTTTAATTGTAAACATTTAATTCCAATACTCCCACATATTTTAATATTTTATTTGACATTAATTTACGGGTCTTCAGGGGTTTAGCCCGTCGCTCTGCTTCTGATCCCCCTAGAATACCATGTGAATTTTTAATTAATTTGTATGGTTCGTTGTAGGTGTTTATATGTGTCTCGTATCAGCAATCATTTAATTTTTCTACATCCACATAGATATTAGCATATCTACGCACTGATTACAAAACGAAAAAGTATGTTATTGCATTCAACTGAACGAATATATTTCATATCCACTCTAGGTAGTGAGAACACTGCAAAAAAGTAAAATCCACCAATCACAGTTCATATTTTGATCACTGGACTACTATTATTTTAAAAATTTTAAATAATAATAATAATAATACTCTCCCTAATTCACCCTCTTACGAGTGAATTTTAACCCCAAAAGCTGAGCTTGTCCGAGCGACTTAAAGATGGTTGATGGTGCCATTTGACTTACAGGTGAGGAAAACCAGGAAAATCTAACCCACCATCATCGAAAACGGTAGCGCATGGCGATTTTTAATAATCTGGATGTCATATCAACAGAAATTAAATTTCTGCTAATACGGCATCCATCAAATACTATAGAGAACCATGCAAATAAATTCACATGGTCTTCCGTAAGTGACAATTCTGTCAAACTAATCGCCAGTACATTGTTTAATTATTTTGAGATCAAGTATACATTAAAATGAGTTATTCTTGTATAGAATCGATAAATAATAGCATTTCTATTTCGTCTATAGTTATAAATAATTTGTTAATTTTAATAAAACTCTATGAAGTCCAGTAAATTACAAGTATTAAAACTTTTTGCTTTTCATACGGAATGCCCAGGTTTAAATCTAGGATGGGGACAAATTAAATTAAATCTCTTTTTGTTTATTTTATTTTATAAATTAGTAAAAGTCATAAATTATTTATAAATTAGATATTCTATCTTAATAACCTAAAATAATTTTTAAAATTTGTAGATTTTCATTAGTGGGTAGTAGAAAAAATATACTGTACAACTTGAATGGATGTCCATATTCACTCTTGTTGCACACACTACAGTTCTGATTTCTGTTGATACGACATCCAGTGAGTTACCGTTTCAATGATGGTTGGTGGGATTTTAGTCACCTCTAAGTCAAATAATATTCTCAATTAAAATTAATTTTATCGCGTCTGTCATTTGTCACCTATAAGTAGATTTATTTATTTATATTGTGTAAGTTTTGGGCGGGCTTTTGTATATGCAATTTTTTTACTGATTTTAGATGTATTAAGTCATTATAATGAATTCAGCAAGATTGAAACACTTCAAATGAACAATTAATTAACAATCTTTATTTAGATATAGATACAATGGAGGTTTTTCCACAAATTTCATTTCTAATAATAAGCACTATCACGTTATTACACAGTATATACTATACACTTAATACTGTATACTATGTACTATATAATATATACTGTATACTAGATACTATATTTTATATACTATATTCTCTATACTAAATATATTTAAAAGCTAATTTATGTGGACCCACATCACATACTTTGATTACTATACGGTGCAAGAGAGAGGTCCGACACGCCCAACATAGGGCGCGGCCATTTTGATTCCTATGCCACAGTTTATAGCTAAAGAATCCGATCGCTCACTCTGCGTCGGCACTTTTGATCTCGATGTTCCAGTGTATACACTGCGCAACTCGGATAATACAATATATGACAACCGCCTATAATAAAACAGCAGTCTTCTGCGTATCCTGAATTTGTATCCCTGAAGTGGATGTTATTTTGGAACTTTCAACTGGTCCGAGTGAGCTAACTGATTCTTTAGCAATAAACTGTGACTCTAAAAATAATATTCTGTGTCACTGACAGCAGCAAGCAAAATATTAAAAATATTGCGCCAAGATGTAGGCAACACGTAATAATGCATCAAAATGGCGGAGTTTTCTATCTCATTTTAAAAGGCACTCAGAAAGCTGCGCAGGGCGAAGTGCGACCATTCTCCGTATAGTAAGAGAAAATCAAAGTATGTGTGTGGACCTCATACCAGAAATGTCACGAGAGGAGGAAGGTTTAGCAGGATCCTGTGTAAGATCTCGTCTTGATAATCAATTCCTTATTACGAGTTTTATTTTGACGTTGTTCATTATCTTCCCTCCCTTTAGTTAGGCCACAACGTATTGGTAATTTTTATATTTTTCCTCGTGCTTACCAGCCATATTGGGATATAATATACCCGTGTTTTTTTCCACAAGTTTAAAGTTTTCGATTGGTATTCCACATAATTATTGTAGATAATCAAACTTACCAATCAACAAATGCCAATTACCGATTGTGGAAAAAATTACAAAATTCGCCAATACGGTTGGTGTAAGCGTAGTCGTGTTTTTAGGCTATCTAATCGTCTCTATCGACGGGCTTCCCCACTTTCCAATTCTTTCCAGGACCCAAATATTGAAACGAAACGCGGAGGCAAACTGTGAAAAAATGTTTTCTTTTTTAGTTTTTTATTTCGTTTAAAGTTTTATTTTACATGTTTCTAGTAAATTTGATTTTCCTAATGCCCTGCTATAGGAGGTCTCCTCCTCCTTTTTCAGGGTAATCTGCCCTTATTACAATAGTAACTATTCCTAGCTATTTTTAAGTGTTGGCGCGTGGGACATGTGTGACAGGTTCTGTTCCCAAAATAATATCGCCGCCAATTTTGCTATTTCTAATTTTATACATGGACAGGGTCCATAATATAAGGGGAGAAATATGATTTAGGGAAACCACGAGAACCTAAATTACGATACAGTACAATAATGTGACAATGACTGTAGATGTGATTGGAATAGGTTGGTTTATTTATGAGTCCAGCCGATCCTGGAGCTCCGAAAAAATGTTGACGGAGTTGTTTTATATAGAGAGAGAGAACCGAAACCAGCAGCATCGGGTTTGAATCTGCACAGACTGGAAGCCTCTCGCAAAAATACATTGTTTTTGTTCCAGCAGCTGCAACAGCAGCACCTTGTAAAATAAATATATCCTCATTTTAAAATCCCTTCATTCCAAACGAGCAACATGAACGACATGCTATATTTATAATTTAATTTTATAATAATATATATCTACCACTTATCATACCCTAATAGCTAAAGAGCCAGCGACCGCCAGACCTACTAATAGTATAAAGGTTAATATTTTTTATGTGTGTACATATGATAGTAGATAATAACATTTGAGTAATATGAATCTTGACTACGGAGGGGTTTGGAGGTCCTCAAGGTATCAAAAAATGTCTGGTAAATACGTTATATTATGAGAGCTGATTATTTAATATATTCAACTAGATGACATTATAATCTCCCATTAACAATATCCTAACACTTTTCGTGCAGGCTTTCGTCTGTCAGACGCTTTCAAGGCGTCGAAAAATATGCATTTTATGGAAAACTTTTTTTATTGTTAATTTCTTGGAAAATGTTATTCTTGATAAATCTTGGAAATATTACCATGTTTGAAAGAGTCTGTGGTGGGGTAGAGGAATCTGAAGAAGAACTAGATGATAATGTTATGGAAGATATTACTGGGTACCTTGAATCCCAAAAAGAAATTACAGCGGTACTTTCCCGAGCTTACAGAAGAAGATTGGGAATGGAGTTTCAACACTTTTTCATGTTATAACAAAGAAATATACTAATTGTTGAGGATGACATGAGGTTTATATGATCTTCGGTTGGCTGTAGCAAATACTCAGCCACGAGTTTTGAAGATGGTTACCCAAATGCA